TCCTGTAGAAACTGGCTGCTCATGGCTTGGACAGGCAATACTCTTCTCTGGGTAAAACACTGGCTGCATGGCCAGGCCCGAAGAGTTGTGCTGAATGGAATGGTTAAACTCAGCTGGCAGCCGGTCACAAGTGGTGTTCCCCAGGACTCAGTACTGGGGCCAGTTCTGTTTACTATCTTTATGAATGATCTGGATGAAGGGATCGAGTGCTCCCTCAGTAAGTTTGCAGATGACTCCAAGTTGGGCAGGAGTGTTGATCTGCTTGGGGGTAGCAAGGCTCTACAGAGGGATCTAGACAGGCTGGATCGATGGGCCAAAGCCGACTGTATGAGGTTCAACAAGGCCAAGTGCCGCATCCTGCACTTGGGTCACAACCCCGTGCAATGGTACAGGTTTGGGGAAGAGTGGCTGGAAAGCTGCTCACAGGAAAAGGACCTGGGGGTGCTGGTTGACAGCTGACTGGCTATGAGCCAGCAGCGTGCCCAGGTGGCCAAGAAGGCCAACAGCATCCTGGATTGTATCAGAAATAGTGTGGCCAGCAGGACTAGGGAAGGGATTGTCACCCTGTACTCAGCACTGGTGAGGCCGCACCTGAAATACTGTGTTCAGTTGTGGGCCCCTCACTATAAGAGGGTTGCTGGAGTACGTCCAAAGAAGGGCAACAGAGCTGGTGGAGGGTCTAGAGCACAAGTCTTATGAGGTGGGTCTGAGGGAACTGGGGCTTAACCTGGAGAAAAGGAGGCTGAGGGGAGACCTTTAATTTCTTCTCCCAAGTAACAAGTAATAGGACAAGAGGAAACAGCCTCAAACTGTGCCAGGGGAGTTTTAGATTGGATATTAAGAAAAATTTTGTCACTGAAAGCGTTGTCAAGCATTGGAACAGGCTTCCCAGGGAAGTGGTTGAGTCACCATTTCTGGAGGTATGTAGAAGATGTGTAGATGTGGTGCTTAGGGATGTGGTTTATTGTGGACTTGTCAGTGCTAGGTTAATGGTTAGGCTTGATGATCTTAAAGGTCTTTTCCAGCCGAAATGATTCTGTGATCCTATGATTTTATGATCCGACAGCAGATAGAAATGAAAGTGCAGTTTCAGCATCAAACACTTTCTGAGCTTTACCAATGTCTCCTGTAAATGTATGTGGCAAATCATAAATTGAAAAACAGTTCTTGAATGGAAAAGACGTTTCACGTCACTGTCACTGCTTTTCAAATCAGTGTCCCAGATGAATCTTATCCTTTTTTAAAACAGCCATGCGGGGCATCTGATAAAATAGTCTGTATTGTGTCAAGACAGCTCAGAAAGCTTTCAGTGTTGCTAAACATTGTAATTTATTTATTACAGGCCAGGAAACGCTGGGGCTTCCTGCAAAGCCCTGCTCTGAGGGCTGGCTTGCAAAGCCACATAGGTAGAGACGTATTTCACATAGATGGAGGCTGTGTGAGGGGAAGGAGACAGACCTATGCAAGCACCTTCGCTGTTCGCTCATAGTCTGCACTTCAGGGAGCTCAGGACTGCATCGGACACGCGCCTTAGGGAAAACTTGTTGAGCAGAAGAAACTCCCTCTGGCAATTTTTGCAGGTTGTGCCTAGGGAAGCAGTTTATAATCTCTTAAGACAAGGGAACAGCCACCAGCCTTCCTGAGCACCTGCTCTTTTGGGGAACTGAACCTATTTCGGTACTAAAATTGAAAATTGCTGCCTCGCCCTTCTACAACAGTGCAGAGACTTTAGTATAATCCATTGCTATACCACCTAGAAACCCTGAGCAGTGCGTGCCCAGTTGTTCTGGACACTGCAGAAACTCTGCATTGTATGTATGATGTTACAGAAGTGATTTTACCAATAATTTCATGGTAAATGTTTTTTCTTCCTCCAAAATGCATAGAAGGAAAGTATGTAAATCTCATGGCCCGTTAAGGATAGCAGGGCAGCGCAGAGGGGGTGGCATCAGTGCCTTACCCTCTTTTATCCGCTCCCGATGTGAGTGTGGCACCCGCATTCTCATGGGTACGACAGTTAGAGTCACTTCCCTGAGAGCACTTGCACATATGTGAGTATCACAATGAAGCCTCCCTTGCAATTAACTGTAATTGTGCTGTAGGCCAGATTCCTTCCTGCTCTATTTGGACCCCATACAGAGCTACTCCATTTGCCTGGCTTATAGCATTTCCCATCAGATCATTCTCACAAACATAAAGCTGATACAGCTTGGGCATTCGTTCTCACTGGAAGTCATCATAGTCATCCTTTCTATAATGCTTTAAGCACTTGCTTGCTGGAGAAAAGAAAAGCCATTGACTGGTAATCAGCACCCCACTGTGAATTTATAATTGTGCTAATTTACTTTTTGTTTCCTTTATCAATATGGGGCTTGCTTTAAAAAGTCAAGTATTTTACAAATATCAATTAGTAAGCTTAGGAGAGGGCCATGACCCCACTCACCTCTTGTTCATCTGCTTGAAGAAGCCAAAGGGGAAGTCCTTAATTCATCCTGCTCTTTGAGACAGAAGTGAAACCTGCCTTAGACTATAGCCTAAAGTCGGGCAGTTCCCATGCACGTCTCTCACAATGCAGCTATGAAACAACACACAGGGAGGATCCAGCATGGCGGGGGCTGGAGGACCTCATGTCCCGCATATGAGAAACAGGATGCCATGGGTGAATGCGCGAACTGTTAGGAGGTGCTACAGAGATCAGTCGCTGACTTCCCATGTGATTTGGAGCAAATCACTGCCCATAAAACAAGGACGGCCACAGGGACATGGTGAGGATTGATTAGCTGGTGTTTGAAAGGACTTCAAAGATATACAGCTTTATTTAATGATGAGTTCTTGGGGGTTTTTTTGATAAAGGAAACTGGATCTTTAATGTCATATTTTCATGCTTAAGCTCACATTCTCAGTTACCTACATGTCTAATAAAGATGGTAATACTTCAGATTTATATATAGGATATTCCTAATGACTGCTGTGTCCTTTGTTGTGTCCCATGTATCATGATATGCATAATTTCTTTTCCAGGTGGTACTACAGTGCTGAATACAGAAAAGCCAACAGTAATAGACAATACATTACAACCAGGTAAAAAAAAAACTATTAAGATTTTTCTTATTGAAAACATAATAAATTCCATACCCAAATTTCATGCCAGAGACAAAATAATGAATTGCAGCACTTCCTGACTTCCCATTCCCTAAAAGTCTCTAAAGAAAAGAAGCATCTGGTCTCTCAGCTCTGTACAGTAAATATTTTATTCCTTTCATCCACATGTAGACACAGCAGAGAACAAGATTTCCTTCTGCATCAGCAAATGCCAAATGCTGACAAAATTAAACTAACTTAATCACACAGTGCACTCTGTTTAAATGTGGCATGTCAGTGACACAAAGTGTGTTTGCAAACTCCAGGAAAACAAAAACAGAGCCACACAGGCCCACTCACTATTTATAGCCCTGGTTTTACAAAACTAAGACAAGTAAAGTTTGCCAGTTTTCTCCAGCAGGGAGCTGGCAGTTTTACAATATTGTTTTCTAGCAAGTTTTCTCAAAATGGGGTTACATAAACTGCCACCATGAACTTGAAAAGGGAAAAAGAAGTTGCCACTGGCAGCAGGTCCTTTTTACTTAATCAATACAATGACTAGCAGCATTTAAAACCTTTAGTTTGCTTCTTCCACAGCTTTTCATACCATTTTTTAATATCCTGTACAATTTACTGGGAGTGGGGGAGAGGATAGATTTGGGCAGAAAACCCAAACTCCACAAACTATGAGCACTAGTTTCAAATGTTTTGCAGTAATAATTGTGGAGCGGTAAAGAGGTCAGTTTTTAGTCACTCCCATTTCCTCCATTAAAGTACAGTCAGGCACAGCCTTGCAAGTGATTTATTAACAGGGTGGGTAAGTGTTTATCATGGTTTCCTCAACCATGTGGCACAATCCGCTTTTGCTTCAATTAAAAAAAAGAGACTAATAATACAAAAGTTTCCTAAAGGACACTGATGCTGTCAACCTGGTTAAGAGGCAGAGCTGACTTATCTCAGACGTTGCTCCCGCTCTTGGCCTCTGCGTTCCGATATTGCAGAGGCGAATGCTTTTACTCCCCCCAAAATTTGTCTCCAGGGTCATCCAGTTGGCTTAGTCAGCACACGCTGTTTCTAGCTCTGCCCTGCTTTATGGGAAGAGGGAGATTGTGGAGTACCGGAGCAATGAGAAACGCGACGGCGGGCTGGCCTGCCCTCCTGGGACACCTCTCCACACTCTGCCACAGTGGAAGGGCTGGAGGGCTGCTGGTGACCCCACAGCTGGGAGAAGGGTGGGGGTTGCAAAGGAAGAAAGGATGCTGTGCAGTGGTTTTAGAGTAAAACAGTTAAATTTTTATGTCTGAAAGGACCTTTTAGCTTTCTCTTTTGTTGAAATGAAGGAATTTTTTTAGGTTTTTAACTGTCTTCTTGCATTTAAACAAATTGCAAATTCATAAAGTGCCTCTGTGCACGCAGTTTTCCTCCCTCCTCCCCAGGGCCAGTTACGTTTGCAGGTTGTGTTTAATCCCTTTGGCTTGGGTGGGACTCTCCAGTAATAGACTGACTGTTGCTGCCAGAGATGAAGATATCCTCATTTTCTCTCCTTATTTCCCTCCTGCACCACCTTCGCTTACCCTGTGATGAGCCAAGTTTTTTCTCCACGAAAGGAGATTCTGAGGTTCCCCTCGGAGCATGCCAATGCTACTTCCCTGCATTGTGCTGGTAGCAACTGTTTCCTTCCGGGGAATAAGGGACAAGTTCACATCCCAAACTCCAGGCTCCCACATGGCAACACATTACAAAGATCGTAGATAGAGATCAGTCAGGTTCTAATAAATACGAATAAGGTTTCCAGAATCTCCAGTTTAAGATGTAAAGGTTTCCAGCTGCTTCATAATCCCTCCCTGAAGACCAGCCAGCAAACTCCCAAAAAGGGGCAGACAGAAATTCCCCTCAACATGGGGAAACCCCTCCTGGCATGAAGGTGGTGTAAGCATTTCCTTCTGCTCAAGGGGCACGGGTGGACCTAGCTGGCACCGTGGAGCACACCAGAGCAAGAGGCCATGCAGCAGGGAGCGAGAGTCTGCCTCGGCAGCCACAAACAACATAGTTTAAACTGGCCTTGAAGTTACAGAACTGCCCAGGGACCCGCCAGCCCTCAGCTGGCTGAGGATCAGTGCACTCTGGCTCTTTCAACTACTCTTAAGCTGAACGAGGTATGAATTTAACACAGCAAGGACTGAGCCTGAATTCCCTCTAAGGGATGGTTTACTTTAAGATGCTGCTACACCTTGAGGTGAATGGTGAACTCCAAGCCAAAGAGCAGATCAGCTGCCGGATGCAGGCTCCAGCGCGTAACCCCGCAGGAGCTGCACCGCGCCGGTGCTGGCCCCAGCAGCCTGTGCCGCGGTGATTCAGGACGGAGGTTTGCCAGCCCTCAGCAGCAGCGCCTGCCGTGGCGCAGGTACTTCTGCAACGGGTGCTAACGCCACGTGTTGCTGTCCTCCTGCCTGCATCCAAGCCTGCAAACACCACTAATCTTGTTAACCCAGACTAACATGCTTGTGTGTGTCAAAGCCTGAGATTATCCTATTCCAGCCAGCTTTCATACACTACAGAAACAGTTAAGAGCAAATAGCTGGAAAGCCTCCATGCATAAACAAGCTTTCCATCAAGGAGACTTTTACAGTTCATTTCAAGAGGGCTGAATTGTAAGAAATAGAGAAGAATCATGATTTCAAACTGCTAAAAATGTTTAAAGGTTTGGATTTTTTTTAAGAGGGGATCTACTTTCCTCCTCAGACTAAAAAATATGCCTTTAACAGATCTGTTTGTCAAGGTAAATACCTTTCAGGCCTCAGTCCTAAGATTCATCAACATCTAGTATTTTTGAACACATCTTTTTCAATTCCAAAGGACTATTTGAAATGCTTCACTCTTAGCCATTTACATACAGAGCAAGCTGTTCATTTACGTTATGTGCTCTCAGCATGTAAGCTCAGTCCTTCGCAAAGCAGACTGTTCAGGAAGTAAAGTATCTTGTTTTTCACACAGGCACTAGCTATTTCAGAAAAATATAACTAAGAAATCCTGAGGTTAAAGTCTATGATAAGAAATCTTTTGAAGGTAGAATAGGTCTGATTCTCGTTTAAGGTGGGACAATTTTGCATCAATAAAGGGCTATTAAAGCAGTTAGATTATCATTTACTATCATTTAAGATAATTCTGTGCTGCCAGCATAAGGGATATAAAAAGGTGAAATGCAAATATGAATCAGACCCAATATACTGCTTTGAAGTGGTCCAAATTATGTTTGTAATTTCCCATTTTAATGTTGATTTACCCTTTGGCAAGAGCATCCTATAGAGAATTTTCATAGCATCTTTAATGCCATCATGCTCCTTCTTGCCTCTTGTTGGAGGAGTTATAAAAATATGTCAAAGTCTGTGGGCCACAAAAGATTAATGGACTTGCAAGAAACTCACTCAACTAGATTTTCAAATGACTTTCTTGTTCATGTGCAGTAATGGTTCCAGCTGTGAGCAAGATGTGGTCAAGAAGTACAGCTGTTGGTTATTCTTTGAGAGGATAAATCTGTTTTAATTCTGTATCACGTACCCTACATTTTCAAAAAAGGCATATGGGATTTCGTCACACCTCCTTCTCAGATTCTCATCTGAACTGCTGCTATTTGGTTACATAATAGCTGGTTTTCTTCATCCTCTTAATACACACAAACCCGGAGATCAATCACCTATTGGCAGAAGAATTATCCTAGCAGAGGAATGGGCCAGCACTGTGGAGGGAGCCCAGCAAGTGCTACTTGTCCCTACTTTCCTCTCTTCCCCCAGAGTTGCCAAGCTATATTTCAAGGACAAAGAAGAGGACAGATTGCCTGTATCTTACTGTGAGCTACTGTATCAGCCCCCTGGGACCTTTGATAGAAGCGTTGAACTATTCTGTCTTTTTCTGGGGCAGATCCATTGTCCATATAACTAACGAACCTATCCTGACGCTACAAGTGCCTGTTATTAATTGGCTAGCAGGTCTATTTTTTCTTTTTATGGGTCCCTGGGAGAAGCATTGGAAGAGACATAAGAATAGACAATAAGAGATGGCATGTTTAAGGAGCCCGTAAAATAAGAGCACTCTGAAATGCCTTGCCTTTGACCTTCAATCCCATTGCTGTGATTGTCTAAGGTATACATTAACACAGTCACTTTTGAGAAAATAATAGGAACCTAGCAAGAAATAGCTATCTGAGAGCAGGTTACTGGTCAAATCCTGCCCAATTCCAGGGCATTCTCATTAACTTCTGCATGGAAAAGAAGTTCATTTTTCTGCTACACTGTGCTGTCTGTGAGACCAAAGCCAGGCATGGCCAAAGCATATCAGACTTAGGCTCTTTGCCAGTTTCCTGGACTCTATATATTTCAAATGAAAGTGCAAGAAATTCTCTATTAGATAGTGCTGTGAAATTTAGCTCTGCTTTGAAACTCTCCTTCTAATCCAAATGTTCAGAGCTGGCTTCAGACCATGAAGCAAAAGGCCTTTGTCACTCCTTGCACTTTAGAATTAACAATTAAATTCCAGATATTTTCTTTACCCATTTCAGTGTCCAGTTCTCTTTGAATTGTGTTCAGCCTTAGCAGCATTTGAGGCAAGCAAGTATCGCTCACATCATATGAGATATTTTTAACTTTGATCCACATTGAACTTCACTGGATATCTCACAGTTCTCAGGCTATGAAATGGAGAAAAGAGAATATTGTCATCTTCCTCCTCTGGATTCTTCATCCATTTACATACTTCTCCTGTATCTTCTGCTATTTATTTTTATTCAGAGTTGAACAATACCAGTCCTTTCAATGTCTTTGTGCTATGTGCTCATTTATGCTGTGTGATATCTTCAGATTTATGTGATCTATCTACCACTGTTCTCCTTTTTTGTGGTTTGAATACACACAGGTTATCACTAACTTTGCATGATATAATCCTTCGTGATTAATAAGGTTAATTTTGTTTTATGTTTCCTAAGACCTTTTCTAAAGTTCTGTTTCATGGCTCTAATGTCAAACCCATGCAATATAGCTCTCCCTAGGCCTCCTTGACAATGAAAGCCTATTTTTCATGAACTTAAAATCCTTTAATTCATTTCAATGTCATTCTGTTTCTTTAAAAACTCCCCTTGATTTTCAGATGTCCCCTTCTGGGCAAGTTGTCTTTGATCATGGTCCCATTGTCTAGAAAAAAAAAAATACTGGAGAAAGAAATATAATGTATTGTCTTTCTACACTCATGTGTGCACAGGCTGAGTTCTGCTTCTTCAGTGTTTTGAGCCAAAACAGAGGTTATTCACCATGATCTGCCCCTTTCCAAGAAAGGGCTAGGGTCCTCCAGGAAACATGTTTTCTCCACATTGAATTCCCGTGCCAGATATTATCTGTTTAATTCGTTTGTTCCCAGCTAGGATGCTGTATTCGTGACATTGTGGAGTAGACCCCTCTGGAGGCCAGCAGGAGGGAGGGAGGAGGCGGGCGGGATGGGGCAGATGAAAGGAAGGAGCGAAGAATGAGGGCTCCGTGCGGAGAGATGCCACGGTACAGCCGAGGTATTGACAGGCGGGGGACAGGGCAGGAGCTGCCGTACGCTCAGAACTCTCTGCTGACAGAAAGAAATTTTCTAGGAGCCAGACAGGAGAGGGCACAGTGGCTGCAATGCAGGAATCCAGCAAGTTGAGTTAAAACTGTGTCTGGGAGCAAGGACCCCCCAAATGAGGACACAGCAGGCCAAGAGAGAATGATAGATGAACCCTTTTTATATCCATTCTGTCTCAACCTACTCACCTGAGGTATTCTCTGTGTTAATAAAATGATTATTCTAGTTTACTTTCCCTTAAAATCTGGGTTATGAGTTCAAAGGCCTTTCCAGTCTTCCCTGGGCAGCTCACTACATGGAGGAGGTCTTTACCTCTTCAGACTGGACGAGCTCCACCTCAAAGGTCTAGCCAGCCACAGGCCCCAACACACTTCCCATATTTCTCCATATTTTCCCACAATAAAGAAAACACATTCTAGGGGCTGCATTACCTTTCCTGGCTTTTTTTTTAATAATGGGTAAGAAAGCAAAAGAACACAATTCTTCCCCCAGAGCTGATATTGATGGAAGCACAGAGTCTTTGTTCTTAGTTCATACTTGCACAAAGCATCTCATTAAAGTAAACCTAAGTTATTCCTTTAATAAGGCGTGAGTCATGTCTGAGAAAAGACTTCAGGATTTGGTCACATTGCTGTGGGAAGGGTATTGTTCCATTGGGAGTTGTCATTGCTCAAGGTGAGGTAAAGGTTCATACAATGGAGTAGGAACCGAAAACCCAAAAGATTTCAAACTGCTTCTGAAAATAAGAAATGCAAGGTATTTATATGCTATCTTTGTATAATCTTTCCATTCAAATTCCAAGTTCCAGTGAAGAAAATAAGCTACTATGTATTAAACCTTTGGGCAGAGTTGAAGAGAAGCTGAAAGCAAGATATGATCTCATCCTGACCATAATACCAGACTTCCCATGTTTTATGTGGAGCTTGTTTTGAAGCTTATTTCGAGTTCATTTGGCAATCAGCCACATTTGTCCCTTTTCCATCTCAACTTGTCCATTTCAATGCTGCCATCTTGTGGGCCTACTTAAGTGTCTGGAAGATGCTGAAATAAGTTCCTTGTTGAAGCCACGTACTATACATTTCACAAGAAATCCTTTCCTGCCAAGGACATTCCATTAGTATTTCTGCCCTTTCTTATTTTTGTCCAAATCTTATTATGAGTTGTTGCAAAACATTGCACAGTTATGGTACAAATAGATATTATCAACCAGCAAATATATCTGATAAGTAAGCCAGAGCTTTCTTTTCGAATCATATCTCTTTACAGCACACTTATCAGCTCGTGTGGGCAAATCAGAAGAATTAAGCTAACCACAAAAAAATCCCAAAATATGGGTCATAAAGAGACAAGAAACAACCACATCATTTACTAGAAATAGTCATTATTCATCTGTTTCCCAGCAGAGCTGCTCTTGCTATGGCTTCTCAGAGTTTCAAGTAGGAATGGTTCTGTTAATGGTCAAATGCATGCATTTGGTTTTGAAGTACAAAATACGAATTATGCAATTAATAATCACATTTCTTCCCCCCTTTTTCATCTTTCCCTGCAGAGCTGCCACTATACAACTTCAACTGTGCCTTTGGCTGGGGATCCCAAAAGACTTTGTGCCACTGGGAGCACGACAACCAGGTGGATTTAAAATGGGCAATCCTGACCAGCAAAACTGGGCCAATTCAAGACCACACAGGTAATCATGAGTTCATGATTTAGCCATTTGACATGGGAAGAGGTTGTTCTGTTTAATACTAACATGCCTTCCAAAACAAGAGGACAGTGAATTATACCTAAAATATGTAAAGTCACAAAGATGATTCTCTAGGCAACCTAAACTGTTACATGTAGTCACAACAGACCGTAACTGTCCTTTCTGTTGGGCAATAAAGATCATTTATTGTCAGGAATTGAAGATATTTCTGACTTCCCTTTGGATAACTGTCACCTGGGATAGAAAAAACCCTGAATGACCAAATATTCTGCAAATATTACTTACCAAGTGATAGAGTCATGAAAAAACCTCACATTATTCCAGTTTGTGGTTACACAGACTGTTCACCACAGGATAGTCCTATAAGTGAAACTTCCCAGATGGACATATTTCCATGCCCTCCTCTCTAGCAGGAGTTGGAGATTATAGCCATACCTTTGCTCATTTTTTCAGAAATATCACCCTGGGAAATTGATTGGTTGGTTTTGTAGTATCTAACTCATGGGTCTGCATAATTAAGCAATAAACATGCTGCTGGCTAGTGGAGAAGGCAGTGCGCTGCATGACTTGCACAGCCTCTCACTTTAGTGTGCTCTCTTGCATACGTGTAGATTAATCAAATATGTTGAGATGAATCCCCCTCCCCACTTCTGCAACCCCTTTGCCTAATGAGAATGACAAGGAAATTAGACAAAATTGGACTTTTTAAATTCTGAGACACTTTCAATTGAATCTTAAGACAAGTACAGTAGTTTCAGGGAAAAAAAAAAAACTTCTAATACTTTGACTATAAATGGCATTGTACAAATAAATGGCATCAAATTAACTAAATGCAGTTAGCTGAAGTGAAGGCTGTAATGGTGGAAAAATTGATGTAAAGTGAAATGGCTCAGTAGGATCTGACATTGAAAGGAGGTTAAAAGCTATGTTAGCCAGAGACTGACAAAATCTAAAAGGCATGCATAAGTAAAGCTCTAATTAAGACAATGAAGACAGAGTTCCTGACCCAGCACTGCAATAATATTCTGGAAATGAGAGCTATCTGCACTTTGCCACCAAGGATTATAGAGAGACTGAACCTGTCTTCAGTCAAGAGATGAAGAAATGATATTCCTCAAATGAGATTTTGTTGTTTCCACTGGGCCCTGCTAGTGCAAAAGACTTATTTGTTCCATTAGATGTAGCTTCAGGAAGCTTTACAGGCAGCCCCTTTTTCTCCTTACTGCACTAACTTTCAATATTTTCCAAAATTTTCCTTCAACTCTAAGGGCACCTTCACCGGCCAGGTTTGCCGTTCGCCTGCCAGCAGGTACAGAATGAGTGGGGTGGGTGCGAATGCAAACAGCAAGCAGTCTGAATGGCACTGCTGTCCCAAACAAGCCCCTCAGTGTCACTGCTACACAGCAAGACCACCCTGTACATTGGGAGAATCTCAATGAGCAACTCCCAGGCATACCTTACTCTCAGCTGCACTTGTATAAAGCTGAAGAAACTCCACAGAAGTGTTCTTCAACAGCAATTGCTTTAAGACAGCAGGACATGCTCTATGTCACTTCAAATTATACGTTATGATTAAATCTGGCCAAAGTTAGGTCATCCAACTGAGACAGCCATCCTAATGCTGTGATTATTTTCCTTTTCTCCTCCCTTTGCATTTCCCTATCACCATTCTTCGATGAGGTCTGCACATGTTGTGCTGCCCTCTGCACAGAAGCAAAGTTGGAAAGAGCATATAGGCACAAACACTGCTCCTGAAGAAGCTGGACTGTTACTGCAGTAAGATAGAAAAAAGGAAATAAAAAGTTTAATTTTTTTTGTGAATTTAACATCATCTTCCCCTATAAAATTCTTTCAAAGACCAGGTATTTCCACATGCATGTTGGCCAGGATAAGTCTGACTGCCCACAGAAAAATCCAAATAAAAGAAAACGTCCTTGTCTCATGTTAGAATATTTCTCTTTCTCATTTATTAAGCCCACTCCTTCCAGCCACTGGGTTTAACCCACTCCTCTTTGTTCCTCGTTCACCTTTTGCTACCCTGTCCTTCTTGTACTTCCCGGAGTGGCAATGCTCATCTTCCCTTCTCAACTGGAGCAGGACTATACCATTAAAATCCAGGAAGTCTCAATTACACATTATTTCAAATTAAATTCAAGAATATCGTGTATAAGCAAGATCAATGTTGATAAAGCTTCACCCTTCCAAAACATCTTCCTTTGCCTCTTTTTACTCTTCTTTTGTTTAAGCATTGGTATGTTAAACAGAGTTTGTATACTTATTTCAGCATTTGAGGAACAGTATTTCTTATTGTTACTTTTCTCCTTCCTATTTTCAAAATAACTTTATACCAATGCCAGTAAATGCTATCTCTGTCCTTTTGTGTGAGTACATTGCACATGTAATCTCTTCTTACACACACCAGGATGAACTTTGTATCTTTGCACCATAATTCTCTGCAAAGAAGTTGTTCAAAAGCTGACTGAAATGGATGCCTGGTTGGTGTAAATCAGAAGCACTTCTCTGTAGTCAGTATCTTACTTAGTAATTTTCTGTTACCAAACTAATCACACTCCTACATGCTTCTTCCCAGTGTGATTAAGCAAGTAATTTTCCGAGTAAAGTGTATTAGGTGTTCAGATTTCAACATGTGTAAATCCATTATGCTCTTCAGAAAATGTTAGTGATCATCTTAATATTTCAGGAAACAGCTCACAAATATACAGAGGCAAATATATTATTGCCAAAACCAAGGGAATAACTCTGGCACCGTTTGTGACGATGCTCAGGCTCTATTCAGGAGCACTGTTTAGATTTCAGTTCCTGATCTCTGACCATGGCTGTTCAAAGCTATTTTATCCTCCAGCGTTTTTCCCATTCTAATCTTGCCTTCTCAAGAACATATTACTTTAAACAGAGATTAAAAATAGCTCTTTGCACAATTAGTGTAGTTTAGGCCCGGGGGATTTCTGTCTAGCCTGCTGAGCTAGGGCTGACTCTCTTCAGGAGGTGCACGCTGACTAATGGAGCAGACGTGTCGCACCAAACGTGCTTTTCCCTCCCTCCCTCAGAAAAAGCAAATGCCTCGTCTGTGCCATGTAGCGAACATGTTGTTAGGGTTCACTCTCAGCACAAAGCATCCCAGTGAACAGCAAAAGAGACTGCCAGAAGAAATAAACTCCACTTAGAGAACATCAGCTCTCCTAGAGCTCCCAAACCAACGCCCTCCGACTCTCTCGGTTGCGAGGCTTGGCCCGTCAGCACAGAAAGTAAGCAAAATGATCAAGGGTGGTCGGGGCTTCTTAGGTAAACAAAGAAAAGGAAAGCTGGTGGCTATTCCTAATGCAGTCCTTCTGTCACAGTAGGAGATGGCAATTTCATTTACTCGCAAGCTGACGAAAGCCAGAAAGGGAAAGTCGCCCGACTGCTGAGCCCCGTGATTTACTCACAGAACTCTGCCCACTGCATGACTTTCTGGTACCACATGTCCGGCGCACACGTCGGCACCCTGAAGATCAAACTGCGGTACCAAAAGCCAGACGAGTACGACCAGGTGCTGTGGACCCTGAGCGGGCACCAGGCAAACTTCTGGAAGGAAGGACGTGTTCTTCTTCACAAGTCTGTGAAACACTATCAGGTGAGCTTGGCTGCTCCTCGCTGAACTAACAGAGCCGAGGCCAGTAAGACCTTGCTGGTCATGTTTTATACACCGTGGCAGAAAATATCGCTGAAGGATTTATGTAAACAGTATTATACCTACAGGTGAGGTGCTGTTGCTGTGGCAGTAATAATAGTGGTGCATTTCACGATGCCTCAGATGAGTGATACAAGGAATTCGTTATTGAAGTCCAAATAAATAGTTTAGAAATCATTTCTCATCTGTCACAAAACTGCATCCTTGCCACAGTTTTGCTGCTGATGTAAAAGTCTTTAATGAAGTTATTGACATTATATAAATTCACATTTGCATATATAAGTTCATAAAGGCATGCAGTGCAGATTGGCAGACCACAATCAAAGTACATGCGGATGTGGCATCATGACAAGTGCAGATGTGTGTTAACAACTAATTAAGATATCCTGAATGCTGCAATTGTGTATTAACAGGAAGACAATGTGAACATTATCTTATTTTGCCAGGTGGTCATTGAGGGAGAAATTGGAAAAGGAACTGGAGGAATTGCTGTGGATGATATTAAAATTGACAATCATGTAGCACAAGAGGATTGCCGAAGTAAGTACGAATAGCAAGAACATACAGAAATCTTATCCAAAATATTATTTATTTTGTTTTGATAGCTGTTTCTATCTGTGAGAAAGGGACAGATAGTTATTGACTATATAGGAAGTTTTGCACTGAAAACATCCTGATCTGGCCCATAGCTTTATTCATAGTAAGTGCCACTGATGTCACCTCAGTACTGCAGCAACTGCAGTCTTTTGGATCAGAACTGGCATCCTGCTGACATGGGTGACAGCATGTTCACATTCTCACGTCTCTCGCTATATTTTAGATTGCTGCCCTCTTCAAATATCTCTGCTTTTCATAATGCTCTTCCCTGTTTTATCTAATCCTCAAAATCCAATTTTTATTTATTCACGCTTTTTAGATCCCTTACTACCAAGCCTACTTGAATTCTATTTCAGAGGACCAGTACACCCTTACAGGGTACACAGATAGAGTGAAATGGCCTCTCCTCTGTCCTCTGCTCTCCTGTAATTCTGAGTTTGCTGTGACTCATTTGCTGTAGTCATCAGTTCCCAGACACATGGGACACGAAGTAATGTTAGAACATGGCCTTTTCCACATCTGAGAAAGGCTATTCCTGAGATGCTATTTGTGTCCTTTTACTTCTGGCCAGTCTTGAGTTATTCCAGTCACTGCTGATCATATGTGCATTGCATACCGCACGTAATTTGGCAGCAGCAACCCCAGATAAACACAAGCTAGTGAACCTGTCCTTCACAACGGAGGTGAAGCAATGACTTTATGTAGGAGAGGAAATAGAACTGAGAACCCTCAGCTAGAAATATAAACTTTTGCCATGCGAGTTGGCAACACAACTGAGAGCAATAAGAGAGGGTGTTTCTCACCTTTTGTAGCTAATATCCTTTTGAGGGTAACATGACAGACTTCAGCTACATGGTAAATTCACTGCAGGATGAGAAGGCTGTACAATCTCTTTTTATCACACAGTCCATCTCCTGGGGTTCATCATATGCCACCAGAGTGACAGTTAGGAGGAAAGAGAGGCAGGATGCACTGCTTGGTCCTCCTGCAGTGTTCTCAGTGCCAAGAAGGCTGCTGGGACCACAGCGATGGTATTTACCTGACTCCAGAATGAGAAAGTAACTAACTTCTTTCCTATCTCCATATGTTTTGGTTGTTCAAACCAAATGCTGAGCAAAGATTTTGGCCTATGGGAACTAAAGCCAAAAGCTCAGTCTGAAGCCCAAACACAAGTGGTCTCACTGCAGTCAGTGAAACTATTATTGTGATTAACTATGCCTACGCTGATGAAGTGTTATGGAATTGGACTCCAAAATTGTAAATAGAATAAATGAGATGCTAATTCATCACACTGATTTCTCTTTCCCAGGCATGGGAAACCCCTGCTGGTAACTAAAACGATGCCAAGACTAGGCAGAGAGGAGTTTTTAAATCTTTCTTTTTTCTCCATTTATTTTCAGAGCCCATCATAATGAACAGTTTTGTCAAGCTGACATAATGATGCTCTGACACAGGAAAATCTGCTATACCATTATTGCCAGCATGATAGTCAATCAGTGTTTGTAACCCTAATAATCAATGTCAATTCTCTTTGCTTCATTAGAATCAACTGATGTGGAGAATGAAATAGATGAAGAAGAAGACCCAGAAAGTAATCAAACAGGTAAAAATTACGTTATTGTTAAAAGGGAATGAATTTTAAAGTGCATTTTCATGTGAATTTGTGTATTCTGTTTATTTATTTATAGATTAATTCTCTAACTGCATATTGTATTAAAGTTATTTGATTTATCTAGATCAGATGTTAAGAAGACTTAAATTTATTAGGATTTAATAGCTTTATTCTTCTATGTCATATAATCTTATGGACTTCGTATTATTTATAGCTGTCTCATCTCAAACCTTTCAAATTTTATATACATAATTTTTTACATTGTATACATATATATGCATGCACACTATAGCTCCTTAATATTTTGTTATCTAGAAGGCTTGTCCACAGCTGAAGAAACAGCTATCTTTATATCTTACAATTTATGACTCACGCAGTGTCTAGGTAATTAGGCTCAAAACTCTTCAGGATAATTGTTTCTCAGACCTGGCTGAAAATGTCATTTTATGACCAGTCTACCAAAGTATTATCATTTTCAATGATGATAGCTGTAAATGGATCATTAAATGGCTCATAATTGTCATATTGTCCCAATAATAAAATATACTTGCATTTTTCAGCCAATGAGCTTAATTTTTTTCTGTTACAGTCAACAGGATTGTTATCATTGATTTCAGTGAAAGCAAGCTTTGTCCAAAAAGATTTTTTGGCTTTTCCTGCAACAATTAGCAGGATTTGAAAGCTTATTGGATCTCTTTCATAAACTGAAGGGGTTGAAGGAAAACATAATGATACCCAGTAAATATTTTACACAAGGGGGCAGAGTGCTCTTCTGTGTCAGTTCTGTCACTATTTCCATTTCAAGGTCCAATCCTGAAGTCAGGGAAGTGGAAATGGATGCAAAATGGCTGGAGATTCCCAACTGATGTCTAAGGCTATAAACATTCTCACTGAGCTGAATAAGATTTAATTAACATTTTTGAGCTAAATACTGCAGGCTGTCAAAATATAATCAAAAGGTCTGGTTATTCATTCCCAAGACTCCCACTTGATCCAAGGCAGGATCAGACCCCTACTAATATGCAGCATATTCAAGGATTGGAGAACAGTATGAAAAAAATAAATAACTATTTGGACCACATTACAGTTTTCAGCTATTTATGCTATCTCCAAGAAGCTGGATTTTCAAATTATGTAGCAACTTATGTCAAAAACAACTTATGTGATGCCCTTTCTCCAAATTTCAACTCATCAAACACTGTTCTAGCTAGAATCAGGTCTGAAAATTTTGCAATCCTTTACTCCATTTCAGGGTTTACGCCTCCATACCATACAGGCGAGCACTATGATGATAACATCTCCAGGAAACCAGGCAACGTCCTGAAGACCCTAGATCCGATCCTTATTACCATCATAGCCATGAGTGCACTTGGGGTGCTTTTAGGAGCCATCTGCGGAGTTGTCCTGTACTGTGCCTGTTGGCACAATGGGATGTCAGAGAGGAACTTGTCTGCACTGGAGAATTACAATTTTGAACTGGTCGATGGTGTAAAACTGAAAAAAGATAAACTAAACACACAGAATTCATACTCGGAAGCATGAAGGTATAAAGCGACTGGAGAAGTTTCAGAGAATCGGGATGGAAGGACATAGCTCGGTCGTGCTGGGGAACTGTTGATCTTCTTTTACTGTACAGGCTGAAAAGTGCATTGATGACACTGAGCCAAGCTTTTCTCAGGAGCTTCAATGAGTGTGTAACTGATAAACATGGACAACAATCTGTGTTAACAATCTGAATCATGTACAGTCTGCTTTTTCTGTTGGTTTTATTTGAAATAATCAAATGCTGGTGTTGAGACCAAGTATGATTGACTTATAGTTCATTTTGCCTTTCTTTCTCTCCCTCTCTTTTCTTTTCTGTTAATGGATAATTTTTTTTTTACTGTGCAAAATCCAAGATGCTGTCACAAAATGTATTCAGTGGGGTCCTTTGGATGGACATGCTGTCTGTAGCTCAGTGCCCAGAAAATATTGGAGTAACAGCAATTTAGTGGACTCCTGCACCTGTATTTGTGTATAATTGCTCGTGTTGTGCATAGGCAAAGAAGGGTTAGGATGTTTTTGAAAGTACTGCTGCATCAGTACCGATATAGTGTGTCAGCTCTGTTTACGAAGCAATACAGTCAAATTTTATCGATGTTTTTCAGTGTTGTACTAAATTTTGTGCTTGTGAACTCCATAAAAGAGTATGTGCCATCATCAGACACAACTGGTAACCGAGTGTACTGCCTAAAAACTAAACAAAAAAGTCCTTGGCACTGGCTAGTGTATGTCCTCTCAAGTGCCTTTTTGTTTGTACTGCTTCTCATTGTGTTAACATTAACTACAGCTCTGCTTCTCTGCAGTTATGCCCTTGTCTTTAATCATACTCTGATGGCTCACTGACTAAAAGAAAAGTATATTTTAGTGTAAGAAAGTAGCCGCAGCAAGGCAAGGGCTAATCAGATTTGACAACCTGGCTCGATTGTTCTGCTTTCTGTATTTCAACTTCATGTCTCTTGACCCTTTTGTATAAAGCTGCAATATCCCCTTTTATTGTTCTTTCATATAGAATGTATTTTCAAATGTAAAATCTCTTTCCCTTTCTCTTCTCTTCTCTTCCTCTCTCTCTTTCTCTCTCTGAGTAGATTGCATAAGCATTTGCCATTGCCAAGGAAAGAAAACTGCAGCTTTAACTTGCTGGTAATGGCAAAGGATTTATTAGAGTTTGTGTTAAAAAATAAGGGAAAATTCTTAACTTTACCCTCCAAAGTCGAACTTTGGGTTTCTTCTTAACAGCATAAAGTGACAGTATCTTTTTTCCTGAAGTCATGAAACATGTCTTTTTTCCTGAACAGCTTGCCTGTTAATTACGCTAGGGAAAATAATTCGCTTACTGAAAGATTGCCTTTAAAATGAGAAACTTTCCTCCTCTTGCCCCTACCTGAACCCAGAGTTCTGTTCTCTGAGTAAATGTGTATTTTCATGCTAATCAATGCTAATTGGGCTTACGCATGGGTACTGAGGGCAGAATAAAATCCCACAGTGTATGTAGGGTATGTTCTTACCATCCGGTTATATCCAGTTGGCATTTCACGCCAGGAGGTTTCCGTCTGACCAGAAGTGCAGATTGTGATGGATTCAGTGAGCTGAGTAGTGTAAGCTGTCGGGAAAATGTGTTTGACAATTATGTGGCAATTTTTTAATATTTTAGGACAAATGCTATTGGACAAATAATATTCAACAGCCTATGCAGCTGGTCCAACAGGGTAAAAAGAAACGAGATTTTGTTGCCCTCGGGGGTCCATAGGAAGACCATAGAGAGTCCCACCCCATAGGAGGGACCAGAGAGATCATTCGCCTCCTGCAGGCGCAAGGGGAACCCCTCAGTTTTCTGCGGTCGCACAACTTGCACACAGCAGAGCCTTAACTGGGGAAGCAGTTGAAGAAGGCAGCTTTAACCTTCCCCTGGGCATCTACCAACCAGCAGGTAAAACCAGTGCAAACACGGGGAAAGGAATATCCTGCAAAGTGCTGAACTCATGTTTTTCCTCACTGAATTCTCTGAGCAGAGTCAGGGAAGTGATTGCGACTTTCTGACTTAGTCTTTATCAAAATTGCTTTTGTAGTAGAGCAATGAAGTAACCTGTCCTGTCCAGGATTAGGACTAAAGAAGGGCTAATTCATCCTTGAATCACTAGAGCAACAGAATCCACCCCTATTTATCAATTAAATGTTTTGGAGCATATCATTTCACCAATACAAACCATAAAACAGAAAAACCTGTAGAAACTCCAGCAGTAATCAAGAAATTGAAGAAAAGGGAGGGAGACTGGAGGTAAAAATGTGAGTTTGGAAATCGAAAATATTTTAAAGGAAGACACAATAGAAAAAAGAGTGGACAGTTGCTACTTCAAAGGAGTCCTAAAGGCAGAGACTACAGTGAATATTCAGACACTCATTTAGATGCCTAAATTGGAAGAGTTACCTCCCTGAGCTCTAGAATTGGGTCCTCCAGAAAGCAAGACAGAGCACCTGAGGCCTGAATGTTAGACCTAAAAGTTAGTCCCTGAAATGTCCCAAATGACAAATTTACTTTGTCAGAGGTAGAATTTTCATTTGTATCCAACAGTGGTGATTTGGCCATAATAGTACCGCAGCAGCTAGCTAACTAACCCAAAGAAAAAGTGGATTTTTTCAAAACCATTTTCAGCACACTACCACCATGTGATTCAAGCGTTAGGGTCTGTTCTCCATAGCTGAAAAAAACTTCTAGTCCACTAACCTGACTGAGAGTTACATGCGTGTATTGCCTTGAAGAGAAAATCCCATTGGGGAGCCTAAGCCCAAAACCTTTTGAAATATGCCCATGGATTTCAATAGATTCTGGACCAGCTGTTGGTCTTGATCTATGTGAAAAGTAAAGCTGGTGGTAGTAGGTTTTTTCTTCTTTTAACATATGGAGAATAGTGAACGTAAAAAGAAATATATCTCCTTTGTTGTCTTCAGAATTTTCTATGATAATGAGGATCTAGCACTGAAGATTTGATTTCTCTGAAGGTAATAGAGCGAAAGTTGCCCTTCAATAAAGGAAAAATGATACTGCAACTTTACATTGAAAAGTATCTTGCACTGATAAATATATTTAAAAAAATTATATGTTTATAAAGTTATTAATTTGTAAAGGCAGTGTTACAAAATGTTCAGTTTATATTGTTTTAGATTGTTTCATAATTTTTAAAGTGTAAAATAACATATTTTTTCTTTATTGAAAAACTATAAAAATCTTCTGTAGTAAAATGATTTCATTTTACTGGTATATTATTGCTTCATGTTTTGTACCATCATAAAACTTTGTGCAAATTTTTTTTACAGAAATTTTTATTTTCTATGACAATATGACACTTGTAAATTGTTGTTTCAAAATGAACAGTGAAGCCTTAACTTTAAATGACATTTGTATTCTCAGACACTGAGTAGCATTAAAAAAAAATCACATAGAACTGAACTGTAACTTAAATTTCCAAACTATGACTACTACATTCCAAAGAAACAGTTGAATTAAACATTTTCATAAAATATCCCATACCTGATATGTATTTTATTATACTAAAATGGATTGGTTTTATATAAATGGCTGGTTTTATTTAGCATCTTGCAACAAGCACAATGTTTTAATCATAGTTACATCTGTTGGTAGGTAACTCCAACAAACTGATACCTTGGTGGGACTGTTTGTGGTTTAGGATGGAGGGATTCACCCTCTGTCTGCCCAGTGCTCTCTCCCTGCTGGAAGACACTCCAGCTACATGCCTAGCTTTTAGCCAAATAGCAGGGATTTAAGAGGACAAATCTGCCACCACTGCTTGCAGGTTGTAATTCACCTTGCTGCTGTGGGAAACCCAAGACATACACCCTAAGTCATACACACCCCTTGTGACTTGCTCTTAGGGCAGTGAGTTTACCAGGAGTAATGTCCATTTTTGACAAGTTGCTCCACTAAGTCTCTGCTCCAGTAGTTAAGGTTTGTACTGATGAACTCCCTGCAAATTTCCACTGAAGTCACCAGGACTTATCCAACCACGGCTGAATCTCCCAATGCAGAGCAGAAGTTGTTGGTGGGAGCAAATGCTGCAAGAGCAACCCATTGAGCCTGATTCGTCATTCAGTTGGGTACTGAACTCATCTGTGGAACATACGATCATGGGTAGGGAGACCTTCAAGAAATTTGCATCCAGACCAGAAGCTTTACATTGCACATATGCAATACTTAACCTATTTGTTTCTTTTAATACTGAGCAATCTGCACATCAAAGTTTGTCAAATCCTTTCTTTATGTTGCACATATGAGCAATGCACACACTGTCAGTATGTCCCTAGGTTGACTGCTCATGAACAAACATTTTGCTTCAGATATTTTACTACCCCTGGGAAAAATATTGTGCTTATTACCACATATTTGATGACTGTTACACTTGAAGAGAAAGTATCAAACCTTTCCTCCTCGAAAGAGTGGTTTTGTGGGTACCTGTTTAAAATATGCGATGGAACTACAGCAACGCCCGTGAGAAAAACTTGGCTTTGTGGTCAGAATAGGGATTGTTCTCAAAAAACAGCTGTGAAAGTTGTTGTCCATATATTCACCAAATCTAAATTCCTTAGAAATGTACTTCATTGCACTCTGTTTGCTTCTTTGATAACCAGACATGGGGCTCTTTGAAGAAAAATAAATGTCAATTGAATTAATTAGCAAAAAAAAGAAAACTCTGAAGTGAATCCATTGAGAAGGAAGTTCAGAAAAGACAGACAAGTTTTTTAGGAAAATCCTCTTTCATTTAGGGGAAATTCATTAGCCTAGAAGCTAAACAACTACTTAGCACAAAACCTTCAGGTTTCCACACTAAATAGGCTGCATAAAGAAAGACAAAAATGGTGCAATGAGATCTGAATTACATTTCAGAACATAAGTTGCAAATCTGAAAGAAAAAGAAGAGCAGATGAAAATAACAGATGGATGAGCTAGAGACAACAAGTGCCAGGAGTGCATAGCTCTGAGGCTCAAATATTAGGGCCACGGTCTGTAAAAAGGGTCTTTGGCAGGTAGAGACAAGCAAACCCTATTATTATTTCAACAATCAAATGTACCAGCCCTGAGCCAGCAGCCACATAGCCACAGTGCGGAGCCCAGTCCCATTTCCTTGCCTTCTGGCAGGACATTTCTATAAACATATTAGCAACACAAGGAGGGCTAAGGAGAATC